CAATTTTAAATGAAAATGTCATAAATTCCGCAAATTTAATCGCCTTTCGGCTAAAAGATACGAATTTATAAACAAGTGTTTTGTCATAAATACCCACATCTCTGGGCGTTATTAAACCGGATAGCATTTGAAATATACGTAAATAAGTTGGCTTTACCTCATATTTATAATTGTAAACTTCAAGCATTTGAGCTAAAATTGCAATCGACAATGTATTCAAATACATAATTGTTGCCGGAATTAGTTCGCCGTAAAAATATACAAACGATCCCATTATAGCGTTAAAGTGAGGGTTTGGGTTATTAATTATGGATAATATTAATTCTCGCCAAAAGCACGTTAACAATATGGCAAACATTACGTATGGATTATGTATGGCATGTCTTTTGACAGCATTGATTGGTTTGTATAGCGACAGACCTATACTATAGGGATGAGTACCTGCGCGGGCTATCACTAGACACTCGGGTAAAACTTTATCAGTTTTGATAATACAATTATTATTGTCGACCATGTTTTATTATAATATTCTCAACTGGTAAATTCAGTGTTCTCTTAAAACTGTTGTGACATTGAATACTGTCAAGCATTAAGCGGTATATATTTATTACATTAACATAATTAACATTCAATTATAAATTGTTTTTAGTTAGAAATGTTTTTAATCAATAAAAATTTTTATTAATAAAATATAATATTATTCAATAATATTATTGCATTTTAGTTCTGTCTATAATGAATTAAATATTATGTCATTACTGGTCTTATATTTAAATTATACGATCTAATAATATAATAAGTTTTGTTTAAATGTACTCTTGATTACATTATTAATTAGCTATTATTTTAATTAACTTGAAATTAATTATTATACTAAACTATTTAATATTTATTTCAATTAAATATAAAAGTTATTTAAAGTAAATGCCCAATGTAACACCTAATGCCACTTACGATTAGCGTTGCTAAATGTTTGGCGATTACTTCAGGGTGACTATCATTGTATGAGCATTAGCATGCAAAAATTTGTTTAACTTACTATTCACTTTAGTTATTATTGGATATATAAATACCTGGTTGTGTTGTAATTATAATTGTATGTCAAATGCTTATAAATAAAAATCCAATTTCTTGAAACAACTTTAAAACTGTATTGGCAACAAGAATATTCTTTTATATTTTTAATAGTATTACTTATTAATTAATTGATTAATTTATTAGAATATAACACGATTTTAGTTGATTATTTCTATAAATTATTTACATTATTAAAAAACTTTATAAATACATAGAATATTAAATATAATGAAGTAATTATAAATTATAAAATTTATCTGAAATATTTTAATAATTTTAAATATAGTAAACCAATTAAGCAGAGGATCTGTAAATTAAATGAATTATAATAGTTATGCACATGAGTGCTTTAAATTTACACCATGGTGTAAATCCTATGGTGATGCGTAATGTATAACTGTAAGTTAAAGCACTCTAAAGCACTCATGGTTATGCAAATTATAATCAATAAATTTATACTGACTTTATATCCTTGAAATCTATTGATACGAAATAATTTCCAACAATAAAATCCAACCCTATTTTGACGCAACCTTTCAATCATTGATAGCAACTATATTTGTATACATATAAAATTATTAAACAATTTTGCGCAATTAATATTATATTATAAATTTTAATTATAAACCTTTAAATTTATGATCAAATTTTCACATCTTTTAGTTATATATGAATTTAAACAAATATCCGATATTTTTGTTTTCGTGCAAATGATTGATGAAAATTGTATTATAACTAATAAGGTTAACAAGAATTCAATCGTAACAAATAATGTAATAATTAACATAAAATATGGTAAATTTTTTTGCAATGATAGATACATTAAAGAACTCAATGATCCACTAATTAATAGCCAATAAGCTGCTAAAAACATTGACCAATAATTACTGTTGTATTCATTGATTTAAAAAAATAAATCGTTTAATTTGTGAAGAATTTGTGTTGAATTTTGGTATTTCTTTTTACAGATATTTTTACAAATCATTTGATTAATTGACATGAATTTCAATGATAAATAATAAACAATAATTGTAAAATACATTAATTGCCAGACAATCATCTGGCTTACAAAACTGCCATATATTGTGATTAAAATACATTGTGGTTATCCAATGAACAATAACTCATAAACAGACGAATGGAACGAATATATTAAAAATATGCCCAAAAATAAAAGAATTTTAAAAGAAAATGCCATAATATTTGCCAATTTAATTGCCTTACGACTAAAAGATACCAATTTATAAACAAGTGTTTTGTCATAAATACCCACATCTCTGGGCGTTACTAAACCGGACAGCATTTGAAATACACGCAAATACATTGGCTTTACCTCATGTTTATAATTGAAACATTCAAGGATTTGAGCTAAAATTGCAATAAACATTATATTCAAAAACATTATCGTTGCCAGAATTCTTTCGCCATAGAAATATATGAATGATTCCATTATAGCGTTATAGTGAGGGTTTGGGTCATTAATTATGGTTAATATTAATTCACGGCAAACACAAAATATTACTATTGCAAACATTACATAAGGATTATTAATGGGATACCTATTGATAGCATTGAAAGGTTTATATAACGAGAGACCGATACTATAGGGATGAGTACCGGCGCGGGTAATAACCAGACAATCGGGTAATATTTTATCAATTTTGATAAGACTGACCATGTTGTTGGCCATGTTTTATTATAATATGTTTAACTTCTAAATTCAGTGTTCTGTAAGACTGTCGTTACATTAAATATTATATGCATTAACTGTCAATGATGTAAATGACATTAACTTTAAACCTATTTATATTTATTACATTTACATAATTACCATTCAATCATAAATTGTTTTTAGTTAGAAATGTTTTGTTTGAGGTTAATTGTTAATAGTTACATTTTAATACACTTTAGTTATGTTTATAATTATATTAATATTATGTCATTACGATTCTTATATAAACAATCTATCATAATAATATAATAATTTCGGTTATTTGTACTCTTGATTACATTATCTATTAGATATTATTTTAATTAACATTAAATACATAATTATATTAAACTTATGTATATTTATTTTAATTTAATTAAAATATTTATATACAGTAATGCCTTAATGTGTAGCCAAATGTCACTTAAAAAATAAAGCACAAAGTTTTGTAATTTATATACTATTCATATGTTATTTATTTTTATATTATATTTTGCTTTACTGGTTATACAAATACGTGGTTTTGTTGTAATTATAATTGTATGTCAAATGCGAATAAATCAAAGTCCGGGTCATTAACACAACTTTCAGATCTATATGTCATTTTGCTATTATTATTGTCAACAGAATATTTTTTAACGCAATTCTGTTTATAGTGTTGTAAGCGATTCGTTGCGCTTTTCATATCGGTTACGGACTGTAGTGTCGAGTGTTTTGCCAACAACTCCAACACAGGCCACGGGATGTGAACGTTACCCAGATTTAAACACTTGAGTTTTGGGAAATACTGATGGTAGTCAGCAAATGTTTCCAATGTCATATCGCAATTCATCAAGGTTAAATTTAAATGCGTTAATTGTTTGCAGGCAAACAATGATCGGGTAAACTGGCCGTGAATTTCCAGTCGTTTTAATTGTGTAAAACAATCGTTAATTGTTTTACGTATTTCACTGAACCCTATCTCGTCGTAATAGTGATTGTAATTTAGGGTAAATTTCTTTAGTTTTGGTAAATTACAGAATAATTGCCGCAAATGTCGGGCCATTAACGCCATCAACGGGTCGTCGCAATAGTAATACTCTATTTGTAATTCAATTAATGCATGCATTTTTGTCAACCCATTCATCAGTATCTCCAATGACTCTACTGTACAATACTTGTCAATAACGATATCCATTGATTTCAATGTGTTTTTATAGCATTTGACAAATAAAGTCATTTCTTGTGTTTCCCAACGCCTGTAATGAACGCCGTATTTATGAAGTCTTGTAAATAACGGCTTATTATTGTCGACAAACATATTATGATTAAAATTAAATATACATGTATATCTAACATGTGGATACTCTAATAAGCTAGAGCATTGCTTTAAATATGGCCACATGTAATCATAATCAGATTGATTCACCGTTTTAATGATTGTCAACTGGTGTGCGAACTTGGTGAAAAATATATCCATGGTATCAACGTTTATGCATTCGTTAAAGTTTACGCTAATTGTAGTTAAGTTATGGCAATAAGTGGTAAATAATATCAGGAGTTGATCAATTGCCTGTTGATTGACCTTGGTGCATTCAATTGATGTAATGTTTGTACACTTTCTCAATACATTATCTACGATACCATAGTTTATGCGTTTTCCATACAATCTATACCGACGGGTATCTATATCGAGAGTTGTCTGTGTAATGAATATCAATCGTTGCCATTGAGTGGACACACATTCACACCGGAATCGGTCCTCAAATGACAGATAACTCAACAATACTTCACACAAATCGTCGCCAAACCTATCCATTGAGTCCAACGCATACTTTTAGCACATTTTCTATTACTACACAAAATATTATATAAATCTTATTAATATTATTTGAATATGCAATCGGATTTTGTTCGCAACTAATTCGCAGGCGCAAAGTACAATTTGCAACAAACGATTTTGATTATAAAACGCGCACTTGTATTTTTGAAACACATGTGCATTATCAATAATCGTAATCTACCTAACCGCCGCATCCAGTACAAAGATACACGTGATTCCTCCGATTAGACACCAGCGTCAAACTCTAAACTACATTAGTGCATGGTTGCGTTTGTAAAATTTACAATAGATACTTTATTATGTAGAACTTGACGAACTTTATTAAATTACAAAATATTAACATGTTCAGGTGACATATAATGAATAATCAGCTAGCATTTATTTTCAACTCTATTTATCGCGTTTGAAAATGCGCATGGCCTGATTCCGGGGACGCACTTCAGCTGAGCGAACTAAAAAACTAAGATAGTTATCAGTTGAAGCATAAGATCCTGTAAACATATAACCGCTAAATGTTCCTGGTACAATATCAATATCAACTAGGTATTCATGATGAGCAGTCACGCGCTTAACATGTGACAATCGGGGCGCGTCCTCCGATTGAACACCGGCGCCGAAATTAAGACTACCACCGCCTTCAGCACGAAAAAATTGACCCGCATATGCTGACGTCACGTCGGACCACGTAGATTTAGGCCACAGTGTTTTAGGATCGGCCTGACTCGGCAATTGTACGTATATAAAACCAACCGGTAGTGGACAGTCTTGTAAAAGTGCAATTTTAGCCACTGCCTCGTCCACCATGCGCTTATTTTCTCTGATCAAACGCTCCACCTGTTGATCCGACCATGCCACAAATCGCTTGCATAAGTATGCATTTTTCTTTGCGCATGCAATATCTTGCCACTTGCCCATGTTAAGCTCATCAGGCACCAATTCCACACAGTTGCTCTCATTAACCGGTCTCCCGGGTAACCAGTTTTCATAGTCAGTGCGACTATTGTCTGTCCACACAATGTGTTTGCCTTTAATGGTTGCGTCGAGCCATACGTTTTCAATCATTTTGTATTTTACTATCAATTTATTGAGAAATTCTTGCTCTGACTGTGAGTTAATGGTCGGTAGCGTTGAATTTAGTTCTCCCTTACACGCTGTGGCCACAGTGTGGTAGTCGCCCAAACCATCAGGGTAGTATTTGTAGCATATATCATCGCTATCGTGATGAAATAGGTCCCATCCGTCACCGCAAACGCCCTCCGAATTAACTAGCTGGTCTAAATAATTATGGTAAATAGTTGATAGAATGCGATTTTAGTTATTCAATAAAATGTATGCATACATGTAACATATGACACCAGAATTGCTAAATGGATCATATACATTTTTTATTTTCAATAATAATTTATGAATATGAAATATTTATTGAAATACTAATAATTATTGATTTTTTATACATCGTATTTATACTATTGATTTATCATAAATATTTAATCCGTATTCTATGATGATCTGAATTTGACACATGTCAAATGTCATGTCAATATTTTATAAAATTAATCTAATATATTACAGCATCTCAGAGAGAAATTAGATACGATTAATGAAATTTATGACATTCTGACATAAGTAAAATGTTTATCATTTATTATTTGAGATAAAATATTTAGTCTTAACATTCAAATATTATGGCATAAAATTAACAAATCAAGTGATATATATTAATTGATAAAATGAATCAATTCAGTTGGTATCAACACTTGTTGAATAAAATTATAGAATTAATCATTATTATTTTAATAAAATCATAATCCATGTTAATTCTTTTATTTAAGTACATTGGTTACGCATAACTATTCAAAGTTGTCATTATTATGAAATTCATTATCTCATGAATAATTTGGTTGCTTTTGAAATGATGTGATTTAGTTTGTTGTGATCTAAGTTAGCTCAAGCACTGGCTGTCAAATTAGTGCTCACTGACGAGATGTGAGATTTAGGTCAAGTCGTCGATAATATATCATACCTGTCTTTAACTTAGGACACTGTATAAGGCTCCGCATAACGCCAATCAGTCTAATACTGGCCGTACGGATCGTAACAAAACTGAAACATTAAACAAAGATTTTATGATAAAATATTTATCAATTAGATATTATTTTAATTAACTTGAAATATATAATCATTATAGTAAACTGTTATATTTATTAAAATTAAATTAAATATGTTATTACCAATAATGCTTTTATGCGTCACTTAGAAGGGAATACAGTGAATGTCCCGTAGCTGATCCAGTCGTGATTGATATGGTCATGTCCAGCATTGTATGAAGATTCATAAACAATCGTTAAAACCTGCGAATGGCCAGAATCACCGAAGTTATGGCCAAATTACCAACCAATTGAATAAGGCTGAATGCATTGAAAATTGGCTTTTCACATGAGTAATGCCATTTACCAAAACTATAATGCTATAAGGCGTATTCAAGTGTCTAGAAATATGACCATAACTTCGGTGATTCTGGCCATTCGCACGTTTGACGATTGTTTATGAATCTCCATACAATACTAGACATGACCATATCAATCACGATTGGATTAGCTACGGGGCATTCACTGTATTCCCTTCTTAGCAAAGCACAATGTATTGTAATTCATATACTATTCATATGTTATTCATTTTCGTGGGTATTATTGGTTATACAAATACCTGGATTTGTTATAATTATAATTGTATATTGAATGCAAATAAATCAAAGTCGGGGTCATTAACACAACTTTCAAAACTGTATTTCATTTCGCTATTATAGTCGTCAACAGAATATTCTTTAACGCAATTCTGTTTATAGTGTTGTAAGCGATTCGTTGCGCTTTTCATATCGGTTACGGACTGTAGTGTCGGGTGTTTTGCCAACGACTCCAACACAGGCCACGGGATGTCAACGTAACCGAGATTTAAACACTTGAGTTTTGGGAAATACTGATGGTAATCAGCAAATGTTTCCAAGGTGATTTTGCAATTCATCAAGGTCAGATTTAAATGCGTTAATTGTTTGCAGGCAAACAATGATCGGGCAAACTGTCCGTGAATTTCGAGTTGTTTTAATTGTGTAAAACAATCGTTAATTGTTTCGTGTATTTCACTCAACACTATCTCGTCATAATTGTGATCGTAATTTAGGGTAAATTTTTTGAGTTTTGGTAAATTACGAAATAATTGCCGCAAATGTCGGGCCATTAACGCCATTAACGGGTCGTCGCAATAGTAATACTCGATTTGTAATTCAATTAATGCACGCATTTGTGTCAACCCATTCATTAGTACCTCCAATGACTCTACTGTACAATATTTGTCGATAACAATATTCATTGACTTCATTGTGTTTTTATAGCATTTGACAAATAAATCCATTTCTTGTGTTTCCCAACGCCTGTAATAAATGCTGTATTTATAAAGTCCTGTAAATAACGGCTTATTATTGTCGACAAACATATTATGATTAAAATCAAATAAATATCTAACATGTGGATACTCTAATAACCTAGAGCATTGCTTTAAATATGGCCACATGTAATCATAATCAAATTGAATCATTGTTTTAATAATTGTCAATTGGTGGGCGAACTTGGTGAAAAATATATCCATACTATCAGCGTTTATGCATTCGTTAAAGTTAGCGCTAATTGTAGTTAAGTTATGGCAATAAGTGGTAAATAATATCAGGAGTTGATCAATTGCCTGTTGATTGACCTTGGTGCAATCAATTGTTGTAACGTTTGTACACTTTCTCAATACATTCTCTACTATACCATAGTTTATGCGTTTTCCGTACAGTCTATACCGACGAGTATTTATATCGAGAGTTGTCTGTGTTGTGAATATCAATCGTTGCCATTGAGTGGACACACATTCACACCGGAATCGGTCCTCAAATGACAGATAACTCAACAATACTTCACACAAATCGTCGCCAAACCTATCCATTGANACAGTCTATACCGACGAGTATTTATATCGAGAGTTGTCTGTGTTGTGAATATCAATCGTTGCCATTGAGTGGACACACATTCACACCGGAATCGGTCCTCAAATGACAGATAACTCAACAATACTTCACACAAATCGTCGCCAAACCTATCCATTGACTGCAACGCATAGTTTGTGGACATTTTTATATTAATATTAATACATAAAATATAATATAAATTGTATTAATATTATTTGTAAAATATTACAAATTATAAATAAATATGTAGTTACTTTATTTAAATTACAAATAAAAAAATATTATAATGTTTTGTCATTACATTTCATTTTATATATGAAAGATAGAGTGAATGTTAACACAAACAATATAATCATTGCATAACAGGTTTCTATGGAAATTAGTTATGAATTTCATGAACGCCGGTATTTTTGAAACACATTTTTATTTTGTATCATGTTTATTATTGAATTGTTAACAATCAACTAATTATTTATAATCAACTATTATTGTTAAAATGAATACTATATTAAAAGAATTAAAATTTTATACACTACTAAAGTTACTTATATTTATTCTATTTGTAATAATTTATTACTAATAAAAGACTATAATAACAATTAGTAAATAAACACCTAGTGTTACATTATTTATCACGTTTGAAAATGCGGACAGCTTGATTACGTGGCCGTACCTCAGCCTTGGACACCAAAAACCTATACAAATTATTATTGCCGGGTACAGCAAAATCACCTGTTTCCAAGAATGGAGTGTAAACACCAGGTGTAATTGTAACATGACCAGCGCCATTTCTATCTTGTCTAATATTATCAATGTCTGTAAGTCGAGGTGCATCCTCCGACTGGACACCTGCCCCAAAAGCTAAACTACCTCCACCTTCGGCCCGAAAGAATTGACCCGCGTATGTAGCCGTCACATCGGACCAGGTTGATTTAGGCCACAGTGTGTTAGGTTCGGCCTGACCCGGCAACTGTACGTATATAAAACCAACGGGCAAGGGACAGTCCTGTAAAAGTGCAATTTGGATACTGTTTTCTCTGATCAAACGCTCCATTTGTTGACTCGACCATGCTACAAAACGTTTGCATAAATAAGCATTTTTCTTAGCGCATGACATATCTTCCCATTTGCCCATGTTCACTTGTTCTGACAACATTTCGACACAATTGCTATCATTAACCGGACGCCCGGACAACCAGTTTTCATAGTTCGTGCGACTATTGTCCGTCCATACGATGTGTTTGCCTTTAATGGTTGCGTCGAGCCATACGTTTTCAATCATTTTGTATTTTACTATCAATTTATTGAGGAATTCCTGCTCTGCCTGAGAGTTAATGATAGGTAGCGACGAGTTTAGTTCTCCCTTACACGCTGTGGCCACAGTGTGATAGTCGCCCAAACCATCAGGGCAGTATTTGTAGCATATATTGTCGTTTTTGTGATGAAATAGGTCCCAACCGTCACCGCAAACGCCCTCAGAATTAACTAGGTGGCCTAAATGATATAGTAATAAATTTAATATTAAATCTAGCTAGTAAAATCCTATTTTAATATCAATTTATATAATAAAATTTATGCATACATATAAAACATAAAATTAGAATTGCTAAATGTATCATATACATTTTTAAATTTAATAAATATTATTATAAACTATAATAATTGAAATAATTATAATTTTCTATATGTTTATTGTCGTATATATACGGTTTAATTATCATAATTATTTAACTAACACTTAATATATATCTAAAATTGATATATAATTTAAATGTCAATTCAATTAATTATATAATAAATTAATTGTTATCAAGGTGATACAACCTAACAAAGCATTGTTTGTCGGCATATTTAAAGTGTCGGCATATGCTTTATTATTATTCTTATATTTTATAAATAGGATATCTTACAAAAGTACTTTCCGTAAAAATAACAATGATATGATCATTTAAAATTAAACTTTAAATGCAAAATAATTGTTACGTTTTAATTAATTTTATTTGTAAATTCCGGATTTTTAATTTTATTAAACATGTAAATTTTAAATGTAAAATCATAATGGTATTCAATATTAATATAAACTTATTGATTAATACATAACTTAATATGCAATTGACTAACTCATTTATTATGTTTTAAATAGTGCTTTATATTCTATGTTGTTCACACATTTTCGTTAAGTTAACAAAAATATATTATTTTATATTATATTTAATCGCAATTATTATTTAATTACAAAATTATATATAAAAATAACTTTAATTAATTAGCAAGTTTTTATTCAGCTTAATCAATTTTATTATATTTACTAAATTAATATAAATAAATAATATAAAATTTTATACAATTAATAAACAATTTGAATAAATAATCTATATAGATGTTTTATTAAAACATTATTATTTGCTTAATTAGTTTATTTAAATATGTCTCCCAGTACGTTATTTATCGCGACGGAAAATGCGCACGGCTTGATTACTGGGCCGCACTTCAGCCGCATTAACCAAAAACTTTACATAAAAATCATCATTGTCCGGACCGGTAGCATCCCCTGTATGCACATATGGACTATAAACACCAGGTACAATCTCATAATCGAGAGAATGGTCATATTTTCCATATTGACTAATTAAATGACTCAATCTGGGCGCGTCACCAGTTTGCACTCCTGCGCCAAAAGCTAGACTATTGCCCCCTTCGGCCCGAAAAAACTGACCCGCATATTGCACAGTCACATCAGACCATTTGGATCTAGGCCACAAGGTATTAGGATCGAGCTGGCCCGGCAACTGTACGTACATAAAACCAACCGGTAGTGGACAGGTCTTTAACAGTGCAATTTCGGCCAGTGCTTCATCGACCATGCGCGTATTTTCTCTAATCAAACGCTCCATTTGTTGATCTGACCATGCCACAAAACGCTTGCATAGATAAACATTTTTCTTGGCGCATGGTACATCTGCCCATTTACCCAGATTGACCTCATCAGGCAACATTTCCACACAGTTGCTTTCATTGACCGGCCGCCCGGGCAACCAGTTTTCATAGTCAGCGTTACTCCTGTCGGTCCATACAATGTGTTTGCCTTTAATGGTTGCGTCGAGCCATACGTTTTCAATCATTTTATATTTTATCATCAGTTTATTGAGAAAGTCCTGCTCTGCCTGAGAATTAATGATAGGTAGCGACGAGTTTAGGTCCCCCTTACACGCTGTGGCCACAGTCTGGTAGTCGCCCAAACCATCAGGGTAGTATTTGTAGCATATATTGTCATTTTCGTGGTGAAATAGGTCCCAACCGTCACCACAAACGCCCTCCGAATGAACTAGGTGGCCTAAATAAATATAGTCAAAATTTACATTAATAGGATGCAATTTTAGAAAATTTTTTATATCAATAGTTATTTAATAAAATGTATGCATACATGTAAGATATAAAAACACAATTGCTAAATATATCATATACATTTTTTATTGTCAATAATTATTTGTAAATATAAAATAGTTATTAAAATAATAATTGTGTTTTTATACATTGTATTTATACTATTTATTTATCATAAATATTAAATCAATATTATATGATGATCTGAATTAGACAGATGTTACAAGTCTAGTCAACAACTTATTAAATGAATGGCATCACAACATCTCAAAGGGATGTTAATCATGATAAATGAAATTCATGATATTCTGAAAATAATTATCTGTTATTATTTGAGATAAAATGTTTAGACTTCAAATTCAAATATTATGTCATAGAATTGACAAATCAATTGATATGTAAAATAAATCCATTTAATTGCTATTAACAGTTATCACATTTTTAAATTCAGTAAATTTTATACATTATTTTCGTTAATAAATGTACAAATATTTAAAATTATTGTAGATATTAAATAATTGTATCATATAATTATATTATGATTGTTAATATAATTGTGTTTATTATTTTGTTTTAATTAATTATAATTATTAAATTAATTATTATTATTTTAATAAAATTATAATCTACGTTGATTATTTTCTTTGAGTACTTTGTTTACCCATAACTATTTATTGTTATCATTATTATTATTTTAAATATTATAAAATTTATTACCTGATAAATAATGTCTACTGTTAATACTGTCTACTATTCAATAATATGGGTTGTGAATCACAACTTGTAATTTAGTTGGTTGTAATCGGAGTTAACTCAAGCACTGGCTGTCAAATTAATGATCTCTGAAATTTGAGTCGTCGATAGTATACCTGTCATTAACTCAGGACTAAATAAAATTCAGAATAACACCAATTAGTCCAATACTGGTCGTAAGGATCGTAACAAATTCACAAATAAAAATATTAAGAAAGAATTTTTCTATAAAGTTTTTACGACCATAATGAACATTTCATAATTATCGGTACATTAAATATTATATCATCATTATAGAAAATAAAGAAACATTAACACTTTATTGCTTTTACAATTATTTTATTAATGTAAAAACAAATTATTATTTACATTATTCTATTAATTGTTGATATTGTAAGAGATTAGATAATTAGAAGTAATTTTGTATTATTATTTTAATTAAACATACAGTAACAAATATTTTTAGTCAACATCATATCAATACCTCGTAATAATAATAATAATAATAATAATAATAGTTTATTAATCAAACATGTCAATTAATACAGCAAATCAATGTGGTAAAAATAATTAATTAATTAAGAATTACAGTAAAATGATTTACAATTAGTTAAAAATGTATTAAAATTTGGTAAGTTTAAGCTCGTATTGTTTTAAACATAATGGCTGAGAATAATTGTGTGATAAAACTGACAAAGTATTACCCCATTGTCTGGTGATAACCCGCGCCGGTACTCATCCCTATAGTATTATTTATCTTTAAAATTTTTGTCACTAAATCAATGGATTATTAAAAATTACTTGAAAACAAAATACCGACATTTAGTTTTAATAATTCATAATTTAAATAAATTATTTCTCAAAATTCATAAATATAATCTTAACTATTGGTCATAATTTTAAGCCATTTTCTGTTTATTAATTAGCGGTTCATTGAGTTGTTTAATATATCTCTCATCGCATAGAAAAGCTCAGCATTTAATAAAATTTGTCGCGATTTGTGGAACAATTCAATACCTGTTAACCCTATTATTATAATTCATTTACCATCAATGATTTGTACATAAACAAACAGCTACTTGAATTCATGTAAATGAAAATTATTATAATTAATTG